CCTCGGGCCCGTGGCCCGCTGGGGTATCCCCCCTGGCGGGCCGGGCCAGTTTATTTACTTGCTGACGCGGCAGGTTCGGCCGATCGCGGCCCCCGCTGGGCCCGGCACATCACTTGCCTGCGCTGCTTCCCGCCGCCCCCATTGGCCCGGGACAGCGAACTGTGGCCAATGGGGGCTGCGATCGGTCGAACCTGCCGCGTCAGCAGGTAAATAAAACTGGCCCGCCCGCCAGGGTGCTTACCCTGGCGAGCCACGTGCCAGAGGTTGCCGACCCCTGAACTAAACTGATGCTGCTAAATGCATAATTTAAAACCAATGAGAAGCTATAGGTAGGTTCAGAAGGTTCATAACAGGCCTTTAAATGAATTTGGGCTGAGTTGTGAGGCCCTGATCATGCAAACACATGTGCATGTGCTCAACTTCTGGTCCTATTGGACTCAGTAGTAAAACTCCCATTGGTATCAGTGGGGGCAGAGCTATGGCAATGCTGAAAGGTTTTGAACATCCGACCCGGAAGTGATAAAAGTTGGGTTCGCCTAAAGGGAAGATACTGGGCCACTATCTAGTTTGCAGCAGAATATGTAAACAGACTAAGGCCTGATTCTGCAAACACACAAATGTTTAACTTTACTGCTGTGAGTAGCCCATGTGTAAGAGTTTGCAAGGCCAGGGATTTAAATATTTGCAAAATATACAGTGAAAATCTAAATCCAAAGCTCTTTTCAAACAGATTGTCAGTGGTAAATTGAGATAAAGGAATTACCTTCATTATCAGGAGACTAGTGTAGTGGGCATCGAGAAATGTTTGAAAATGTTGAGAAAACATCTTGAGCAAAGGCTGAAAAATATCTTCATAACAGATGATAGGAATTGCAGTTGAGAAGGATAAAAGAGACTTGACTACTTTACTTAGAACTTGAAGAATGCCTTTACGTAAATTCCCGTCTTGGAAAGATCTTAAATTCAAATTGGAATAGCTGCACTAGGCTGACCTTCTTACTAGTATTTAATTAGCTACTGCATGACTGTGCTTGCTTAATGTTTGTGTTCCTGATTAAAGTCATGCTGTTTGCATGCTCTGATTCTGCAATAATAGTCAACAGCTAATGTACAAAGGCCAAAGCGTTTTCTCTTTGGAAACTTCTGTGGTGTGACAGGAGCTACTGCCTGGGCCAGGGAGACATCTTCTGGCTGTTGGTACTAATGTGAATGACTGTCTGATTGTATTTGTCTTCAAGGGCACAATGTAATTGCACCATGCATTGCTCGCACTATGAATTTTCCACACTGTGGAAGGGGAGGAGTAGGTGGAAGAGGAAACCTGAAGAGAGAGAGAGGAGAAGAGTGGGAATGGGATAATTATTTTTTTAAAAGGCAATGAAGAGATACAATTGATTTAGTTTTTATATATTACGTACACACAAATGGGGGGAATAGCCAAACAACTATAGGCTTTTTAAATAAATGTAAGAGACTTAGTCAGAGGAGAGGGAGAAAAATTAAGTAAGGATTAAAAACAAGTGCAAGTAGAAAAAGGAATATAGGTGAGAATTAGATAACAACTATAAAAAAAGGAAAGTGACAAGGGTCAAAGCGTAGAAAGGGAGTTAGCCCAGGATTATACAGACACACAAAAGAGAATTCTAATTCTGGTCTGCATACTCCAGTCCCATTAAATAAGACTAAATTAATAAGCATAGCTCCTATATTGCCCTGCACTTTGCATTTGCACCACTACAAAGTTGAATGTAAATCACTTTCAAATCAGAATGGAAGCATATTACACTTGCTTTGTACTGTTGTAAGTGATGACACAAGGTGCAGGGCAATCAGGACCCTGGCCTTAAAAACCCTTTTTTAAAATTTCATTGTGGTTCAGGAGGGTGTTATGCAAGATCTGAAACTTTTTACATTTTATCACGCACACCACATATGCAATTTCTAATTCTCTTCCTAGGTTCCGCCCTTGTCCAGCTTTTTGGTCTAGAGGGCCTCTTTTAGATCAAACAAGTGCAAAGGCAATTTCTCCGACATTCCCTAGATCAGCTAGGAGAGTGGGCAGCAGTAAGACTGCCGGGCAGCAGTAAGACTGCCTATCAGCAGAAGCATTTGGGACCTCAAACTCCTGTACAAAGGTCAGTTTGGGCTAAAGAACTAAGGGCCTGATCTTGCAAGGCATAGAGCCTCAGCTTATTTTCCTAGGTAGGCAGGAGGAAACAACTCTTTGCCTGAGCTAAAGCTTTTAGCTAGCTTTTTCTTTTGAGTTTTGGACATTGACACTGTCATTGATGTACTTCTCACCTGCCAAGACCCAAGTGTGGGACAAAATGTATGACATAAATGAGGAATACAAACACTTTCTCTGCTCTGTGGACTAGGATCTCCCTGTCCCGTGCACTTTTTTCTGCAGTGATGTTGATTGTCTGAACGTGCTTGCACTATACATTTTAAAAATGCATAAAGTACAAATGCTTATAGGATCAGTAAAATATACTGAACACTGATCCTGTGCTAGTGACAAGAGGGAAATGTTCCATCCATGAGTTATCTCACAAATGCTGTCCCAGAGCTATGTTGCTATATCCTCAATAATGCTAATATGGTTTATAAACTGAGTACACAAAATCATCTATGTTAATTTCACTTTTAGTAAACACCGGGGTGGGAGGAAAAAGTTTTCCTGATGTGAAACATAAACTCTCTCTTTAATATTTTCAACCTTTTCACAGAGAATATTGCTTAAACCTGATTTTTTATGTAAAAAGAATAAGTGGATCTTTTCATAAGCTTTTAAACCTCATTGCAATAATTTCCCATGTAGGTGATTGGGCATTCCAAGTACCAAGAGTCCCAAAGAATTGCAGTCTTTCTGAGTATGCAAGACGAAATTGAGACAGAAGAAATCATTAAAGACATATTTCAGAGAGGGAAGGAGTGTTTCATTCCACAGTACAAGCCCCGGAGCAGTCACATGGATATGGTCAAGTTAACTTCCGCTGAAGAAATTTCTTCACTTCCTTTGACATCTTGGAACATTCATCAGCCTTGTGATAATGATGTAAGGGAAGAAGCTTTGTCTGGGGGTAAGTGTTTCCTTCTTTCTGATGCTGAATCTCAGGCGATGCCTACACTAGGGAGCTTACTCCAGCCCTCACAACTGACAATAGCTCTCCCGCTGACGTAGCGCTGTCCCCACTGGCGCTTCAGTTGGCGTAAGTTATGTTGCTGAAGGGGGTAGCTAATTCAATCCCTGAGTGACCCAATTTATGACGACTTAATTTGTAGTGTAGCCCCATCCTCAGACTCAATGAGCAGGAGTTGCCTGGGATCAATAAGAAGCTATTAGAAGGGAAGGACAGTGTGTTATAATGCAGTCTGGTTCCTGATATCCTAATTTCTGGAAGTTGTAAGCTGGAATGTAGGAATTTTTATAGAATCCTGGATCCTAAATGTTGTTGTTGTGTGGATGTATCCTAGTGTCTTCGCAGAGCCTGCAGAATAGCTTTTAGGATTGAGGTCTTAGACTGCAAAATAAAAGCACTTTCTACTAGAGCTGGGGGAATATTTCAATTTATTTTCTGTCATTATTCATTCACATTTTCATTTGTTTATTCATTTCAGCCTCTGGCTCTTGGCACTTTACAAGATATAAAACTAACAAACTTTTAGAAGTCATATAAAAATTATAGTCTGTAGAAAACTAATTTTACTGCCATTTGACCTCCAAATCAAACCCCACCACATCCAGCTCTTCAGTACAACCCTCTTCAACTGCCCACAAATTATAAACAAACTTGCTTTGCCTTTGTTCACATTCCTTCTTTGTTTGCTTTCTGCAAATACTTCAGTGAACATCTTCACTGGCAGAAATATTTAAGAATATTAATGGAAAGCAAATGCTGAATTCATGTGGGAAACCTGATTCTGAGGGTATGTCTACGGTGGCGAGTTTCTGCGCAACAAGTTATACCACTTTTATTAAAGTGCTGGAATTAAACCACTGTTGCGTGTCCACATTGTGCTCCTTGTGACGGTGGAGCGCATCCACATTAGCAGCTTTTGCAATGGCAAAGAGAGCAGTGCATTGTGGTAGCTATCCCACTGTGCAACTGGCCGCAGGGTGCTTTGGGAAGGGTTTGCAATGCCTCATGGGGCAGGCACAGCGTCACATGATGCAGGTTTCCCAATCACATTGTTCCATGGGCATCCTACTACATTGCCAGCTGCTTTTCAAGGGCATTTAGAAACTGAGCTTTGAAAGGGGAGGGGCACATGCCTTCAGGGCAGCCGTGGGAGGTCAAAACAATGAGCAGAGCAGCCACTTGAGGGATTATGGGACACTTCTGGAGGCCAATTGATTGCTTTCTGCGCTGTAATGTGTTTACACTGCCAATACAGTGCTGGAGCCTCTGTGCTGTAAGGCTTCCGACTCTTGTCGAGATGGTTTTTTTGCAATGCTCCAACTGAGCATCTGCGCACAGAGTGGCTTGGCAGTGCGTACATCTCGGGAGTTACACCTCAGAAAGCTTATTTACTGTGCAGAAACTTGCCAGTGTAGACAAGGCCTGAGAGTTGCTCACCTATCCAGAGACTTACCAGATTGCACACATTGGGTGAAGTCGCCAACAGCTCCTGGAAGTTGGATACTGCAGCAATTCAAACCAATTCAGTTTAACTGGATTTTTAAATGTTTCTTGTTAGCATGTTCTTTTCCCAGAAGCATTAGTTTTCTTTCATGGGAATTCTCTTTAGTCATTTAGTGTTATCAGCATAGCATCAGTACTAAGTCTCCATCTATCAGCATTTTCACTTTATTTTGTTTCAGTTGATTGACTTGTTAATTTATTCTCTTTTGTCCGTCTTTCTCACTTTAGAATTCTCTATATTCACATGTTAGATGGCAGGTGATTTCATTTGCCTCCTATGGTCATTCTTTCTTTCCCCCGTATTCAGCATTTTTGTTGTTACTTCCTTTCCTGTTGTCTGTCTTACATGAAATTCTGTAAATCATTAATCAGCAGGTTTGAGGTCTTTGGAATGTGGTTCTTAAAATGTCTTAGCGTTTTATTTAGTTAAGCTTAGTTCAGCCATACGAGGCAACTTACTATGTGTGATGAACTATAGTTAGTTGCATTTAACAAGCCTAAGTTAGAAATCAGAATGAGAAAACAGGAAAATCATAGGGTGAAACTCACCTACAGTTAGGGCAAGGAGACTGGCAAGGAGGAGGGATTGCTCAGTGGTTTGAGCATTGGCCTGCTAAACCCAGGGTTGTGAGTTCAATCCTTGAGGGAGCCACTTAGGGATCTGGGGCAAAATCAGTACTGCTGGTGAAGGCAGGGGGCTGGACTCATATGACCTTTCAAAGTCCCTTCCAGTTCTAGGAGATAGGATATCTCCATTAATTATTATTATATGGAGGGGTAAAGTAGGGACCACTGTAGCTCTTGTGCACTGTGGAAGGAGCCTGGCACAGAAGTCTGCAATAGAGGGTGGTGAGAAGCCGCAGCCAGCACATCGCTCGCCCGCGCCGCTTCTCGCCGCCCCCATTGGCCCGGGACAGCGAACCGCGGCCATTGGGGGCCGCAATCGGCCGAACCTGCCGCGTCAGCAGGTAAATAAAACTGGCCTGGCCCGCCAGGGTGCTTACCCTGGCAAGCCACGTGCCGAACGTTGCCGACCCCTGGACTATATTCATTTATACATGACAATCTGGATCTGAGCTTTCTGTTTTATCTGTAAAACTTCTTTGCATCTCACAAGTCTGACTCTTAAGGAGGATAGCTCACTATCTAGTCTATGAATTGTGTTGTTAAACCTTGGGTTTGCATTCCAGGTTCTAACAGATAGATACTCCCTTTAATTATAGTCTTTCTCTGTTAGATCAGGATTGTCCCTTTTCATCTTGGCAGTGCACAACATTACACACATTATTGACGTAAAAATAGATCAAGACAATTTCTCTAAGAGGAAATCTTTCATCCTCTCTACCACGTAAAAATGACACAGGTCATTTGTCGTTTAAAATGTTGCTTTCTGTTGGCCTTTCTAGATACTAAGCAATAAAACGAGCAAATGGGCAACAGTGACACAGTCAAAGTTCAGCCCCCTTGTGAGTCTGCGTTTTGAGTCAGTCTTTAATTGCATGATAGCATACTATTTTTAACACAAAACTCCTGTCTAATTCAGTGCACAGGATGGACCTGCTCTGGGGATGCATTAGAGTAGAGTTGAGTAGAGCTGCTTACACCAGTTAGCATGATCCCATTGAAAGGAAAATGGATACTTTCAATTTACAATTGCAGCAACCCACTGGTAAGTACTTTGAAATTGTTATTGAGGGAGCATTAGCCCCATTTCAAAGTTTGCCATTGGGAACTACCTGGAGGAAATATTTTTAGATGGAAATACACTGTTTTAGCCACCTGTAAAGTCCTACTATTTATTTATGTTGCACTCACTGCACACAGGACTTTGGTAGTGATAGCCCGCTCAGAATTCTTAACAACTTAAAAATATATAGAGCCTTTAATGTTGGGACATATGGATTGGCAATATATTATTGAGAGGATCACATGAAACATATGGCTACAAAAGAAAGATGGCATTTTAAAAAAGATAAGAGGCTGAAATTTTAAAAACAGTGCACCAGGAATAAGAGAACTTGGAAATATGAGGCATATAAAGGAGTTTAGAAATAGAAAACAATATAAGAGGAAAATAGTATAACTGAAAGCAAAGTAAATGTCTTTTATGTCACTTCAGATACATTAGTTGTTCAATAGCTATACATGAAAATATGATGGTAGCTTATAAAACTGTGTTAAGCATTCTGAAATAAGACACATTGCATACAATACTCTGGGGGTTACTGAGACAGATTGAAAGAAAGTATGTTCTGAATGTTGGATAAATGGATATGTTGGAAGCAATGATGTTAAATATTACTGCATAGTGGGAAAACAGAATTCTCCAAACAAGATTTTAAAGTAATTGAGGGTACTAGTAGGTTGTCTTCTCTTTGGGGAGACTAGATTAAAATTTACAGTACAATATATGTCAGGGGATAGATTATAATTTGAAATTTCTTTTGAATGGTCATAAAAAGAAAAACTGAGACCATGGCATGAAACCAAATTGAAAATTGAGGCTTAGCTCTTAATGTAATTTATTTTTTAATGAAATGATTTAAAGTTTGGATTGTCTTCAAGTAGAAGTTCAATC